AACTCCTAGTAGCTTGCAGTGAAAAAGAATAGGAAAACGAATATATGTATATTCATGTATGACTGAAGTATTGTGCTGTACACCAGAAATTCACACAACATTGTAAACTGACTATACTTCAATTAAAAAAGAAAAGAATTAAAAAAAATAATTGCATGACTCCTAGGGTCAGACCCACCGGAGCTTTGAATTCCAACTCTATTCTTTATTGGCTGAATGGCCTCAGGCAAGTTGATTTCCCCCTTGAAGACAGCTTTCTCAATTGTAAAATAGAGGTAAAATTCATACCTTATACCTTAAGATAAAGATGAAGATTGAAATAATAATACATGTAAATAAAGCCTGGCATGGGGAAGGCTTCCAATAAATTTGGGCCCTGATTAGCTTTCATTTACAAATGAGGAAACTGTGGGCTTGCCTGAGATCACAGAACTAGTCCGTTCTGCACCCAAGACCTGAACCCATGTCTACCTGACTCCAAAGTCCACCTTAGCCTCTGTGCTCTTCCACCTTCCTGCACATCAAAGTTTAAAGGCATGAGTCTTCATGTTAATAATATAACAAACAGTAACTGATTTGATTTGATACTGAGACTAAGGTTGGATATACTCTGAAAATTTGTGATATTAAGCAGCATAGTTCTTAGCTTCTAAAATTTCTCTACGAATCAATATGATACCCAAAATGACTTACATAACAGAAATGTTTAAAGTGTCTTCTACACTAAGAAACTTTCAGAATGTTCCTTTCATTTCTAGGTCTATATAATGACGTTACAGAAAGACTGAAAAATAGAGAATGACAAGAGACAAGCCATCCCCATTCCTACCACCGGCTCACACAGTTGCTTTCGTTTCTGCCCATTCATTTCCAGTGTTAGTCCATTGGCAGATATATTTTAGCAGAGCTGTAATCACAGAGTACACCCCATTTTGCATCCTGTGGGGAGGTTGTTCTGGAGGCCCGCTCCCACTCTGCTGTCCCCCACATGGTACACGAGACCTTGTCCACACCACAGTGTAGGAAGGGGCGATTCTTGGTGCAGCAGAGACTCTTATGTCCCATTTGGTTTCCTGGCCAAGCCCACCTGAATTTACACTGACAGAGGAGATGACGATGATGGGCAAGTAAAGGATGCAAAAGCTCTTCACCAAAGTCCATAAAATATGGAATGTGAGGGTCAGGGGTACACATATTAGGGAACTTGGCAACAGAGTAACACGATGAGGACTGAAGCATTCTTCTTCCCTCATGTCCCCGTAGGGCACTGTGAGAAGCTGACATTGGTGGTTGTGCCCTTCCTGAAGGGTGGCTGTTGCCAGGCCCATGACTGGAGGTCTCTAAAACAAAGCTATTTGTCCAAAGGGACCTAAACAGTGTTGACCAAGTTTGCCTGATAAGGATCACCTGTTGTGTTTGTCAAAATTCCAGATCCTGGGCCCCTCTCAGCTCTAGGGCAGGTGCCTGAGAGTCTGGAATTTGGATATCATTTAGGAAACACTGTATTGAATACTGTAAAGGGTGGCGACTATGTTGGATTACACAAAGAACGCCCCCCTATTTATAGTGCTACTCAGGAATGATCAGAACCTCCATCAGACTGAGCTCTGAGGAGGCACCCAAGTACTTGAGTGGATTTCAGGGCCGGAAGTGACAAAGTTCAAACGCAGGCTCAGGCACCCAAATCTAATCTGGTCGGGTTAACTGATCCTTCTTACATAAAATGGAAATAACAGTATTATAGCCATCCCTCAGATGGTCATTGTAAAGGTTAAATGCTATGTTTCATGTGCTTGGTACAAAACCAAAGTGTCAACAAACAATAGCTATTAAACCACTACTAAATTCTCAGTGCCTGGCGTATGATCAAACACTGTTACATAACCTTTCTGAAGCTTAGTTTCTTCCTAGGGATAACGGATGTTAGGGAGGGGGAAATTTCCCCCCTACCCTTCTTGAGTTCTTTTAGCTATAAATTGTCACAAGGCAGATTAACAGGAGAAAAAAATTAATAAGTACATACAGAGGTTTCATAGAAATACCCCTCCTCCGCCCACAGCCAAAGTGACCAAAGAGGCTGTTCACATAACACTTTTAGACAAAGAAACAATTATTTGTGAAGATTTAACAAAAGGGTTTGTGCTTGGAGTAGCAGACTCATGAAGAAGGAACAGAACTTGTTTATTGAACTTTCTTAGCCTTGATTCCTTATGTGGTGATAAGGATGCTTTCTATCTTCCTGGTGCAGGGAGGACAGTTTCACATGGGAGATTTACTTCCTACTTTCCTCCACCTGTTTCTCAAGTAACTTGAATCCAAAATAATCAATATGCCATTGTGGCATATCTTGGAGCAGCCTGCTCTGAGCTCCAGCACAGAGGTGCGATGAAATGGACACTTCTCAAGCAGTATTTTTTTCTTAAATGCTGTGTCTCTGGGGTTATTTGTAGGTTGTATTGCTTTTCTGTAATCAGATAATTACGTGCTCTGTTTGCCAAATGTAGGCAACGTCATGAAGTGATAATGTGGCCATATTGGAACCAGATTTGGTGCAAACTGGATTTGCATGGTTGTCTGTAACACAAGCAATTTCTATATGTCAGTCTCACGTGAATTATGAGCCAAGAGATGGTGACAAAGGGAGACAGGAAATATGGGAACCTGGCTGACCACAGTATCACCAGGGATGTTAAAAATAATAGATTCATTGTTTGATTCCTCACGTCTGGGGAAGAGTCCTAGAAACTGCATTTAAAAAAAAGCATGCTGATAGATAAACAACAAGATCCTACTGTAGACACAGGGAAATATATTCAATAGCTTGCAATAACCTATAATGAAAAAGAATATATATATATATCTATATCTGAATCACTGTGCTGTACACCAGAAACTGAAAGTTTCTGTCAGCAGCCAAGATTCGGAACTATTTGACTGTAGTGTAAACTCCGACAGTTGGGTTTTTTTTTTTTCCTTCTTTCTTTATCCACTTCAAAGATGGCTATCTTGAATAAGCATATTGCCAGCCACTTCCCCCTCCCGCAAGGTGGCTCTTTTGTTTTCAAGATCTTGGTTGATTTGATTTGATTTGATTTTTCGGTTGATTTTATAACTGCCCATTTGGGTTGCTGTTTCTTGCTTTTTGTTTTTTTTCTTCTTCCGGCTCGCTTAGATCCCGCCCTATGTTTCAAGTTCACCAACAGGGAGCGAGCCCGCCAAATCCTACGCCCCCACCCTCCACCCCACTGAAAGCGAAACCCCATGCCCGCGCGCTCCCTTTTTTTCTCCACCCGCAACCTCGCTGCGTGGCCCCAAAGAGTGCAGTGTAACTTCAAGGTCCTGTAAGTAGTAAATCTTTATTTTTTTCAAAGCTTCCTGATGGTTATTCCTGAAGGGTGTCTCACAATCAGAATGAGAACCAGAAAAGCCTGTCCAACTATGTTGGTTACCGAGAGATTGCGACCGGCACAATACACTGGTTCATGACATCTTAAATTCAGTTTCCTGTAGTGCACAACACCTTTTCTCCACGTTAAAAATAACTGTTAACTCACGTTGTAACAATTCTTGCAATGTGTAAGACGGCATAGAAACGAAATAAGAGCTCAAGGGAACCGTGACTTGTGTGGGCTGGGGAGAGAAGTTGCAGATCAAAGTGGTAAGCAGAAGAAACTTAAAACAATACCAACAGCATTGGCAGTCAAATCAATAACAGGAAATCCAGCAGAAATTTCAACTGACTTCAACTACAACTGTTGGGCTTATAGAGGCTGTTAGAAAAATTAAGTGAGAAAGAGATGCACTGCTTAATTCCCTATCTGGCTCTAGCGCTGTTTTGTGTTTTTGTTTTTCCTTATTGCATTAAATATTGGCACATTGTACAAAAATAACAATTCCTTCTTTCCTCTCAATCTTCCTTTCCAATTCCACTCCCCAGGGGGTAATCCTTAATAATAGTTTGATGTGTATCCAAACAGGTTTTTCTGTAGCTTTGTTCTCTAAGAAGTTACCTTAAACTGTTCCTTTAGAGTCAAGCCAGAACTAACACGCCTGTCACCTACTTATTAAAAGGGCAAATTTCTGCTTTCAGCAAGTGTGAAGCTAGAGAGATCCCGGCGGGATGAGGAAGTCAGATCAACTTGTTCTCCCAGCCCTTCGACCCTCCCCTGAATCGCCTCAATAAAATGGTTTGACCTCCCCCCACCCCAGAAAAGGGCAAATTTCTATTGATAGGGAAACAGTTTTCCCCACCTTGAGGCTAGAAAGACAGGCATTAAGAGGCAAGTGCATTCTAAATAGTTTTCTGAGAGATCGAAATCTAAAACAGGAACACATCTAGCTTAAGTTTCAGGGAAATCAAAACTTTACAAGGGCAGGAACATTCTAGTTTCGTTTTTCAAGGAAACAAAAACTTGGCATTCCTCCTAAGCTCGCTCTTGTTAAGCTGCAGATACTTGAATAGGACAGCACCCTGACCCTGAGGAATCTTCTAATTCTCTAGAGACCCAAGCAATGCCTGTTCAACAGAAAGGGTGGGCTGAAAAAAGGACCACAGAACTCTAAGACAAAAATCCACCCTGTGGCTACAGACCCTTCCAGATACATCTACTTCAGGCAAGAGAGGCTGAGGTGGACATATTATGCCCACATTTTTTCTTAAGTAAGAGAAACAGGAAACTGGCTCTTAGATGGGACTCACCGTCTAGCTGAGGCCAGCAATGCAGGATACAGGATTCCAGCCAGTGGATCTGATAGAGATCTGAGACAGACAGTGGTGTAGAGGATCGTAGTCTGGCCCAATCAACGAACTACCTAGGAACAAACTGTCAGAATGGACAGGAAGGGGCTAGAACCTTGGCGGGAACAAGTGCCCAATGGTTTGATCTCTATGTAAAGGGCTTTCTTGTTATTCATAATGTATACGCTTTCATTTTCAGGAGAAACTTAAGATATATTGACAGGAAGCTCTGAACTAGTTGGATCTTCCAAGTTATTTTTTTCCAAGTGTGTCAAAAATACATTTGGTTATTTTGTTTACTAATATTAACTAAAAACACTGGAAAGTAACTTGCCCAACTTTAACAAGTTGCTTCTTCTAATCTTTTTGGAGAAGGGGCACAAATAAATACAAAATTGTGAATAATTCAGTATGTGGATGGTTGAGTAATATTTGCCATGCTATAACAGGGAAAAAAATCATTTGTAGTAACATATTTTCCTAGACACAGGCAATGCCTACAGATATTCTGGGTATTTTCTTGACATCAAGTGCCACCCACATTTTTACAACATAAATTTGCTTTTATTACTGTAGCCAAGATGTTTTTTAGATCCAAATTAAATAAACAGCGAAACACTGGAGGCTATAACTACAGCACTGGCGTAGGGGAGAGAAGTAAGTCCGAGAGGGTGTGTAATGCTGGTTCTAATCCCGAGCAGGCCTTAACTCCTCTGGTTTGAGTCTTAATCTGTGAAATGCAAGATAACAGGATGCTTGAAGGCAGAGAGCCAGGTCTGAGGTTGGGATCTCCTTGGTGCAATGCCCGTTTGTTTCTTTGTGGATTGTAATTTTCTCAGCCCCAGGAGTTCATAACCCTATCATCCCCATTCCATTCTTCCCCTTGGGCCCACGCGCAGAGGCTCTGTTCCCCTTACCTCGGCCCACTCCTTACACAACCATCTCCAAACCGGTAGAGCGCAGAGCGCAGGCGCCGGGCTGACCAGCGGGAGTGCGCAAGCGCGAGCGGTGAGCACGGGAAAGCGGGACTGTGAGGTTGTGTGTGTCTGGGTGTGTCTGATGTTGCCTGAAGAGTCTTAAGATTAGAATACCTTCCTGCTACTATTCTTAAATAATGCTTCTCTAGAAAACTTTGTAAATATCATCAAATTTTTGTATTTATTGAGATAATTTTGACTTTAATTGTTCTTGTGATACGTTATTAATTAATGGTTTTTCTTGTGTACTCTTGTATTCTGAGATAAACCTAATCTGAGTTTATGTGTGCGGGGGTGTGTGTGTGTATAAGAAGAGCAATAATAATAAACGTAAATAAGTACAAAAACCAAATAAAACAAACACTTCTTTTGTTATCCCCAATTTTGTTACTGTTACCTCAAATTGACAACTCTTGGCATTTTGCCATAGTTCCTTCAAGCTTTTTAAAAGTTCAATAAATAAAATATTGTAGATAAATTTGAAG